TATATTTCTTTGTGCTTCAATAAGTATTTGCAAACAGAATATGGCTCAAGAGTGTTTCAACTGAAAACAAAAGCATTCAATTTTTTATATTATCGACAGTACTGAATACATGTTAAAAAAATTAAAAGTTTTAAGGTCGTAGGGGAATACATTAGGTCATATTTATTTTTATATGGTCTCGAAGATAACCTAACAAATCCCATATTTTAAAAGATCTTACCCGTAAATATTTTCAAGTACCTTGAAAGTGTAAATTTTTTCTTTTTTTACTCAGCGACACATAAAATATAAAATCAAATTAAAACATGAACACACTAGGCATTCAAATTTACCGAGAGATTAGCATAGGCAAGAAAATGGTCTCCCCAAACAGTAGGATGATGATTGTCACTCCGACGTGTAATTTCGCTCTCACCACCAAATCCATCCATTTTTTTCAACTTAGTTTTTGTAGAGTTTGGAGTAGAGAAACTAAAGACATAATAATATGCTTAATTAAGTTTTGATAACAGTAGTAGAAAGTAAGAGAAGTGAATTACATAAAGAAGTTTTGTTTAAGTTACTACTTCACACAGACACACGCCTATTTATAAAGATTTAATTTAGTTAGGGTGCACATGAAATTTGACTACTCTCATCATCAAGAGCAAAAATGTTAGTGGTGACTGTGAACATTGAAATTTTGTGGGTTTACCAGATGTGTTCAATTCGAGTTGAGATTCTACACAGTGACAAAGCTAGAATTTTCAAGAAGGGTGTTTTAAAAACTCTGAAAAAATAGACACACGAATTAGCCGAAGGGGGTTCGACATCTAGTATATATACCTAAAAAATTATTTTAACCATGTACAAATAATATAATTTTCCGCCAAAGGAAGTTCGGATGAACCCCTGAATGTAAGGTGGCTCCGCCACTGATTTTGTATGGTGTGTTCAATTCCAATTAGGATTTTTGGACACTATTCAACCCTAAACCCTAGTTCATGCCTATATAAAGGGTACTCGAATATTCCACAAATTCATAGAATATTCATAAAAAGATCAAATTTAAATCATCCTAGTTTGAGAAATACGCCACAAACGACCCTCGAATCAAGAGAGGAACAGAATTGAACCCGCACTATCTATCAATAAAATTATGTTTTTTCATATTTTATTTGTAATTGCAATTTATTTTCTGTCACTTTAAAACTTGTTGAAACTTGCCAGCAGTGACTATTTAGGGTGGCCATTATATTTGACTAGTCCCAACTCTTATCTGCAAAAATGTTAGTGGTGAATATTTAAGGTGGCCAAGAAATTTGAGAAGTCCCAACTCCCATCATCTACAGTAAAAATATTTGGGCCATAAAATAAGTCGTTTTTAACAATTGGTAGGGGTGATTGCGGGGTCTTATACCCATTAATGAGAAAAAAATGCACCATCTTTTGTCTGATAATTTTAAAAGGTGAGAATTTTTTTTAAAAAAGAAATCTGCTATGTTGAACATTGGCAACCGATAAATTAGATAGGATGCACATGAAATTTGACCACTATTATCATCAAGAGCAAAAATGTTAGTGGTGACGGTAGACATTGAAATTTTATGAAACTCTAAAAAATGTGTTCAATTCGAGTTATGTCTATATAAAGGGTATTATATTTCCTTAAAAGGCATCTCAAATATTTCACGAATTCATGAAATATTCATAATAAGATCAAATTTTAATTATCCTAGTTTGAGAAATACGCCACAAACGATCCTCAAATCAAGGGAGGAACAAAATTGAACCCACACTATTTACCAATAAAGTTATGTTTCTTCATATTTTACTTGTGATTACAATTTATTTTCTATCACTTTAAAATTTGTTGCAAGCAGTGACTATCTAGGGTGGCCATCATATTTGGTTAGAGTTGTTCATTCCAGTTATGGAAGATTTGATGTTGCTTGGGATAGTTGAAGTATACTAGTGATTCATCACGCACAACTTTGTTTATGAGAATTTATAGGAGAGCTACTATGAAAATTTACAGTTGTTCGATAGACTTAAGATTTATCTCATCATCGGTATCATGTTTTGGCTATGTGTGATTGAGTGTGAGGACCATTGGGTCTAGTTTTGTGATTCTTAAGGTTTGTCTATAATAGCTACTAATCTAGCATTTCGACAGTGTTGTTAGAGGTTCTGTATGCTTGGGTGCATCACTCGATGGTGGTACTTGATCATTTCCATCTTTCGATCAAATGAGTTCGATTCTCCTTGATGATTACTTGATGTCTAAAGATCATATTTTATAGCTTAAGCTCGAGGAAATATTATGTTGTGAGGATGTAATCTTGATAAGATCTATGATGGCTTGTGCATTATGAGTGTGTGGTGGCTGGTTTAGGTTCACTCCTGATTGTAGCCAATATTGATTAAGGATTTTATCATGGTTATGTTAGATAATATTTGTCCTGACGGTTGTGTCAAGGTCTAGTTGGAGAATCGGTCCGTTGAAGAGTCCACTTGGGAATAGTTTTGTTGTTAGTAGAGTTTACATACAATAACATTTATCATTAGAGTATTGAGATGGCCCCATTTGAGGCATTGTATGGGAGGAGGTGTAGAGATCTCCAATTGGTTGGATTGATATTTTTTATATGAGACCTTGGGTACTAATATTTTGAAGGAATTGTTGAGACAACTATCCTTTCTTACCCTCACCTTATTTTGATCGTTCGAG